AAAAGAATACAGCTGAAGAATTGATAAAACATTTGTCTTCATGTAAGTTTTTTTTCGATTTGCATTGATGAAAGATTCAACAGGTTTTCTGTCTCTAGTTTTATATGATGTTTTCTTTTTGAAAGTGGAAAAAGTTCAGGGCTGTTTAAATGTAGTTGTTCTGTTTCGCAAATCTCTCTGCGTAGTAGTAGTCGTAGTACAGTTCTCGCGTCCTGAATAGCAACCGGTTTTGCTAGTCATAGCCACCTGTATTCGCCAGTTGTTCTCTATTTATACTTGTCTATTTAATTTGCATACGATACTACACCTCCCTGAATTGAAGAGGTCGTATACCCTTGTTTTTTTCTTTTACTATTTCTGATTATTGTTGTATTGTGTTGTCCTTCTTGCCTTTCTTGTTTTCTCTTTAATGGTAATCTCGTTCTCTCCTCCGTCGGTCTTTGTATCTCTTAATTTTTCATTCTTGCAAACGCAGCAAAAGTTCTTATACATGTTTCTATGTGTTCTTGATCGTCCAGCGAATTTAACGATTCTATCGGCGACGCCATTATTATGATTTGCTTATCCCTCTGCGTAGTTGTAGTCGTAGTACAGTTCTACGTGTCCTGAATAGCAACCGGTTTTGCTAGTCATAGCGACCTGTGTTCGCCATTTGTTCTCTATCTATACTTGGTTATCTAATTTGCATACAATACTACAGTTGTTTTGAAGGTAAATAAATATATTCTTTTTTATATACATCATTTATAATTTAAAACCAGTATTTGTTTTAGTCATAAAATGTATATCTGGAAAAAAATGATGATTGAATAATCGAAAAAATAAGTGCTAACTTTTTGTGTTGATGTTAGTGTTATGAATAATCAAAAGTGGCCTCCCCTTGTTTTGTTACTCTCCTCCACGAGAGAGCTATTTCTGTTTACTGGGACTATAAAAGGACACTATACGCGAACCTTGTATTCTCAGTTGAATAAAGCTTTCTTAAAGCCTACACCTGCTTACTTTTGTCATTACAGTTAGTGTCTTTAAATTGTGTATGTATGGTAGTTATATTTATTCTGACAGGCTCATAAAAAATATCACAATAAACTTTTTCGTAAAGACCTGTGTTAATTTTTTCATTCATTGATTTACATAATTTCTTACAATACCGTCTCTTTACTGCTCTAGAGTGATATTTTATCATCTAAAAAAGTTCTTATATGTTCTTATATGTTCTCAAAAAATTTTGTTGCCACGTGGAAAAATATTGTGCCAGAGATTTGGCTGTTTTGGTATGTACTCTCAAAAAGTGTTATGTAGGAATAAAGTGTCGCTGCCGACACTTAGGTTTGAACACGGATCGACAGAGAACAAACACAGTTGACCTCATCTTGAAATAATTAGATTACGTGACTAGCAAAGGATATATATATATATATATATATATATATATATATATATATATATATATATATATATATATATATATATATATATATATGGGAATTAGCGCGGCATCTTACCGAGTATTGTTCAAAGGCGTTACAATTATGGTATCTGGGATTTACAAAGTCTCTCCTACATACGGGCATCACAAAAGTGGCGACGAGGATGAGATGTCATATAGGAATAAAGTGTCGCTGCCGACACTTGGGTTTGAACATGGATCACCAGAGAGCAAGCAGAGTCGACCTCATCTTTAAATAATTAGATCACGTGACGAATAAAGGAAAAAAATATATGGGAATTAGCGTGGCGTCTGGTCGATTATTGTTCGAAGGCCTAACTATTATTGTATCGGTGATTTACAAAGTCTCTCCTACGAATACACATTAAAAAAAACTGTTGCTCACCGCTGACCTAGATCCTTCCTGGATTTATTATTGGCGGACTAAATCTTAACAATATAAAATAATAAATGAAACTGTATTGATGTCAGACACAGCAGGATAAGTCTGTCTACATTTCTGAGATGAGGTATTATGTACACTATTTATATTATTTGGACTATTGTCCTCATTTTTGTCGCCATATTTATTACAACGTTTCGGCCGTTGTACGCTCCGGCCTTCTTCAGGTGGTTTGAATGTCGAACTGAACCCTTCACTGGGGTAGACTGTTCTAGTTTCACGTGCCATGTCTAATGGACATCAGTTATCAGTTTCCTCCTCAAGGACACATGGCACAGTAGATAATGCGAAATGCGAAGGGCTAGCAAAAGATGTTTTCTAAAAGCGAAATAAAATATTACAGAATCAGGAAAATTTCGTTAGAAACCAAAAAACAAAGTGCTGAATTGTTACGTAATACTGTCCAGCGAATGCTGGACAATTTCCTCACGGATGAAGAGAAGACTTGATGAAACAGAAATATGGTTCTACAGAAGGATGGTAGGAATACAATGGACGGAGCATGAGAGGAAATTTGAAGGAAAATGGAAAGGAAAAGGACGCTTATATTTAGGATCAGAAAGAGATGTTCCACAGAGCAGTAGTTCGCTGGAAGAAGCTCTTCGAGTGGAACTTACTTCTCACTGTGGTATACAGAGGAAATTTGAGTGGTTTTCTACAATATAAGTGTAATGGCGGGTCCTAGCCGTGAAGATTATGTCTGATGGGATCAAAGAATGTAATTCATCCGAGCACTTTCGATGGAAGTAGCGGTAGAGCAATGAGAGGCTCGCCACATCCCGCCTGTGGGAGAGAGGTTAGAGGGTGGAAAATAATTCTTCTCCCACAAAGACCCGGGGACGTTTTTGAACTCTACGAATTCTGGAAAGTGAGCTCTGGGAAGCTCTTGCCAAAATATGGCAACAATACTCCATTTTCGGCTTGATTTTGGCTCTTATAAAGGTAGGGGATAGCATGAGGAGTCAGTTACTTACTGGAGCAGTACAGGGAGTCAACTCTTTTTTTTACCTGCATCTTTAGCGATGGATTGTATGTAAAGTTTCACTTAAGATCAGGTGTAATTTTGAGGCCTAAATGTTTCTACAATCACAACAATCTTGCTCTCCTATTCGTATAAACTGCCTCTTAACGTAACCCTCTACCTCGAGTGGTTGAAATTTTTATAACACATAATGAGGAAAGAAGAATTGAAAAGAATTTGACACTCACAGGAAACATCGAAGGCAAAAGAGACGGAAGAAAATATCGAGAATCCTATCTAACGAGGTTATGTGAATGGATGGTAGAACGGAAAGTGCAATGAATGGTAAAAAGACAAACATTACTAAGAGCTATAAGGAATAAGAAGTCTTAGAGAGCCACGATCGTCCACGTCCTGAAGGGACACGGCACACAAAAGAAAATGATTAACGGGCGAAAGAGCCAATTCAAAATTTAGTCTCGTTCGGTTTTCAAATGTCTTCCAAATCGCTGTCTGGTAAACCTGCTATAAAGGTTGATAACCCGTCAAATTTGTTGAAGGCTACATAAAGGTTTACCAATATCTACATTCATGCATACACGTACACACAGAGACATACACAAGTGTGTATGTGTGATTAGATATGTATATGTATCAGGGACGAAGGGTCCATGTATGCAACACATGCACTGAATTCCATATATTTTTTTTAGTTTTGCATGATATAAAATTAATTATTGATAATTTTCACTTTACTTTTTTGGTCAACAAATTTCATACTTTTTTGACTTGTATTTTTTTGTATTTCCCATTTCTTCATTTCTTAGGATAACTCTTGAAAGCGATATTGTTTAAGGAGTGTAAGTAGAGAAAACGCTCTTTGTTTAGCGAGAAAAGACGCAAGTAAAAGCAATGAATTTACTAGCCTTTTTAGTAGAGAGAATGAGAGACAGAACATAATAGCGAGTGGGTGAAAGAGAGACATTCACTGAAAAGTAGACAATCTTTTGTTTGCATTAGGACGTGGCTTTAGCCTTCCCTGTTTTATTATTGCTTTCAAACTGGGTGCATAACAGAATAATAAAATGTGAAGTCACAGAGAGAAAGCCACCGAAAAGCAGAAATTCTTTTGCTTGCTTTCCAGTCGTATTAAGCCAGCAGACACTCTACTGAACTGATGGTATTTTTATTGCGTGCGACTGAAATCAAAGACTTGCGTATTCAAAGAACTTATGGTCAGACTTAGACGAAAAATTTGTATTATTCGGTTCTGAAGAGTATATCGGGAACATCAGACGATTTTAGTGTCGCATCAAAAGTTTTTTTTATTGACTTTTACAAAGTTTTAAACCATGGAGAGTATTCTTGACCCTTTCTTAAGACTCAGATTCAGTCATGTGACAATTACTCAGAATGTTTTTGACCAGTTCATAAGTGTAGCGAAAAAGAGCAAACGGCGAAGTCTATCTTTTGTTATTAAAGGTAAGCTTTCATCAGTTTCAATGCCTTAAGATTTAATTTTAAATGTTCCAAATTATTTTTTTAAAGTTACGTATTCCTGCTATTATTATATATTATTTCATTAAACATGTTAAATTTTGTTAAAAACATTTTTTTTTAATCACTACGACGCCCAATTTTAAAATTAAATTAAAAGTATTTAAATTCAAATTTCTTGTATTAATGTTGATGTTATTTTAAAGAAAGGTTGAATTTTAAAAGAATATTTGGGTAATTAAAACAATACAAATTAAAATAATATTAATTTAGTTTACTCAAAATTACAAATTTTCACTTTTCCACTCATCAACGAAAGCCATTTTCTAACACCTGTTGTCAACCGATAAGAAACTTATTTAAACATTTTTTAAATAAAAGAAACAAAGTGTTAATTTGATGAATTATGAACAAGATTAAACCAAAACAAGCAGACCCTGTTGGTAGAAGTGTACTAATTGTATTTAATTAGCTCACATCATATTCAAAGATGGTTGAAGAGGAGGCAAATAATTGGGGGGGGGCGCAGATTGAGTTTTTACTTTTCCCGCTCCACCTTTGCAATTAGCCTGCATAATAGACTGCATACCCTGGTTCTTAAGTCGTCCTTCGTCACTGATGTGTATGGATATCACTGCATATGAATACACGTTGAAACATTGGTTCCCGTACGATCACCGATGTTAAGCAACATAGAGCCCGGTCAGTACCTAGATATGTGACCGCTTAGAAATGCCAGGTGCTGTAAGCTTGGGTGTGCGGGTGGTGTAATGCCTCAGAATTGTTAATCGGAGAGCCGAGTTTCAATTCCAGTCGGATTCGTTTTATTCACTTATGTTCAAATACCATTGAGAAAGGCATGAATCCACTTCTTCTCACCACCAGCTATGGGTTAATTAATAAGACTTGTATCACTAAATGCTTATTATCTTCAAAAATGAAATAAAATTGTGTAGAAACATATTTAGATTTTGACATTAAGTAACACATAGACATTGGTATACCGCTAAACAAAAATAATCAACCAATTTTTATGGTTCAACGATAATTGTCTTTTTTTTTAAACTCGAGCGGAGGTACCTTAATCCATTTTTACAATTTAAAAATACTGTCTGGCTTTAAATAACCTGCGAAGGGTTGATAAGCCGTAAAAACAAATCAATCAATCAATAAAACATGTATATGAACACGACCAGTACAAGGATGTTGTTGACCCTCCTGAATCTATGATACGGACCCACACACTACTAAATCTCATTTTTTTTTACATTCAAATAAAATACAACTTTTTTTGTAGCCTAATAATGTAAAATAAAGGATCATATGTAATATAGGCAAACCATTCAACTAGAAATATTGAAAATAAATACAATGTATCTAAATATAAATTAGAGACATGTCATAATAAATCATACCATCATTATTATATACTTTGCTATTCAGACCAGCATCTTCATCTTGGTTGTTATAATCACAACGTTTCGGCTCGTACCGATTTAATAATCTTTATCGGTATTTTTGAGATGAGGAATTATCATTATTATATACTTTGCTATTCAGACCAGCATCTTCATCTTGGTTGTTATAATCACAACGTTTCGGCTCGTACCGATTTAATAATCTTTATCAGTATTTTTGAGATGAGGAATTATCATTATTATATACTTTGCTATTCAGACCAGCATCTTCATCTTGGTTGTTATAATCACAACGTTTCGGCTCGTACCGATTTAATAATCTTTATCAGTATTTTTGAGATGAGGAATTATCATTATTATATACTTTGCTATTCAGACAAGCATCTTCATCTTGGTTGTTATAATCACAACGTTTCGGCTCGTACCGATTTAATAATCTTTTATCAGTATTTTTGAGATGAGGAATTATCATTATTATATATTTTGCTATTCAGACAAGCATCTTCATCTTGGTTGTTATAATCACAACGTTTCGACTTCATCTTGGTTGTAACCGATTTAATAATAATTTTATCAGTATTTTGAGATGAGGAATTATCATTATTATATACTTTGCTATTCAGACCAGCATCTTCATCTTGGTTGTTATAATCACAACGTTTTCGGATTTAATAATCTTTATCAGTATTTTGAGATGAGGAATTACCGATTTAATAATCTTGGTTGTTTATCGGTATTTTTGAGATGAGGAATTATCATTATTATATACTTTGCTATTCAGACCAGCATCTTCATCTTGGTTGTTATAATCACAACGTTTCGGCTCGTACCGATTTAATAATCTTTATCAGTATTTTTGAGATGAGGAATTATCATTATTATATACTTTGCTATTCAGACCAGCATCTTCATCTTGGTTGTTATAATCACAACGTTTCGGCTCGTACCGATTTAATAATCTTTATCAGTATTTTTGAGATGAGGAATTATCATTATTATATACTTTGCTATTCAGACCAGCATCTTCATCTTGGTTGTTATAATCACAACGTTTCGGCTTTCAGTATTTTTGAGATATATACTTTGCTATTCAGACCAGATTTAATAATCTTTATCAACGTTTTTGAGATGAGGAATTATCATTATTATATACTTTGCTATTCAGACCAGCATCTTCATCTTGGTTGTTATAATCACAACGTTTCGGCTCGTACCGATTTAATAATCTTTATCAGTCATCTTTTTTGAGATGAGGAATTATCATTATTATATATTTTGCTATTCAGACCAGCATCTTCATCTTGGTTGTTATAATCACAACGTTTCGGCTCGTACCGATTTAATAATCTTTATCAGTATTTTGAGATGAGGAATTATCATTATTATATACTTTTGCTATTCAGACCAGCATCTTCATCTTGGTTGTTATAATCACAACGTTTCGGCTCGTACCGATTTAATAATCTTTATCAGTATTTTTGAGATGAGGAATTATCATTATTATATACTTTGCTATTCAGACCAGCATCTTCATCTTGGTTGTTATAATCACAACGTTTCGGCTCGTACCGATTTAATAATCTTTATCAGTATTTTTTGAGATGAGGAATTATCATTATTATATACTTTGCTATTCAGACCAGCATATTCATCTTGGTTGTTATAATCACAACGTTTCGACTCGTACCGATTTAATAATCTTTATCAGTATTTTGAGATGAGGAATTATCATTATTATATATTTGCTATTCAGACCAGCATCTTCATCGGTATTTTTGAGATGGCTATTCAGACCAGTTATAATCACAAAACGTTTGAGGCATTATATCGCTATTACCGATTTAATAATCTTTATCAGTATTTTTGAGATGAGGAATTATCATTATTATATACTTTGCTATTCAGACCAGCATCTTCATCTTGGTTGTTATAATCACAACATTTCGGCTCGTACCGATTTAATAATCTTTATCAGTATTTTTGAGATGAGGAATTATCATTATTATATACTTTGCTATTCAGACCAGCATCTTCATCTTGGTTGTTATAATCACAACGTTTCGGCTCGAAACCGATTTAATAATCTTTATCAGTATTTTTGAGATGAGGAATTATCATTATTATATACTTTGCTATTCAGACCAGCATCTTCATCTTGGTTGTTATAATCACAACATTTCGACTCGTACCGATTTAATAATCTTTATCAGTATTTTTGAGATGAGGAATTATCATTATTATATACTTTGCTATTCAGACCAGCATCTTCATGTATTTTTGAATGTTGAGGAATTATCATTATTATATACTTTTGCTATTCAGACCAGCATTTCATCAACGTTTCGGCTCGTACCGATTTAATAATCTTTATCAGTATTTTTTGAGATGAGGAATTATCATTACTATATACTTTGCTATTCAGACCAGCATCTTCATCTTGGTTGTTATAATCACAACGTTTCAGACCAGCATCTTCATCTTGGTTGTTATACCGATTTACTCGTAATTTAATTTATCAGTATTTTTGAGATGAGGAATTATCATTTATTATATACTTTGCTATTCAGACCAGCATCTTCATCTTGGTTGTTATAATCACAACGTTTCGACTCGTACCGATTTAATAATCTTTATCAGTATTTTTGAGATGAGAAATTATCATTATTATATACTTTGCTATTCAGACCAGCATCTTCATCTTGGTTGTTATAATCACAACGTTTCGACTCGTACCGATTTAATAATCTTTATCAGTATTTTGAGATGAGGAATTATCATTATATATATACTTTCAGACCATCTTATTCAGACCAGCATCGTACCGATTTTCATCTTGGTTGTTGAGATAATCATCATTAACGTTTTGCTATTCAGACCAGCATCTTCATCTTGATTTTATAATCTTTTATCAGTATTTTTGAGATGAGGAATTATCATTACTATATACTTTGCTATTCAGACCAGCATCTTCATCTTGGTTGTTATAATCACAACGTTTCGGCTCGTACCGATTTAATAATCTTTATCAGTATTTTTGAGATGAGGAAATATCATTACTATATACTTTGCTATTCAGACCAGCATCTTCATCTTGGTTGTTATAATCACAACGTTTCGGCTCGTATCTTTATCAGATTTTTTAATAATCTTTATCTGTATTTTTGAGATGATTTAATAATCTTTATCATTATTATATACTTTGCTATTCAGACCAGCATCTTCATCTTGGTTGTTATAATCACAACGTTTCGGCTCGTAGATGATTTAATAATCTTTATCAGTATCTTTTTGAGATGAGGAATTATCATTACTATATACTTTGCTATTCAGACCAGCATCTTCATCTTGGTTGTTATAATCACAACGTTTCGGCTCGTACCGATTTAATAATCTTTATCAGTATTTTGAGATGAGGAATTATCATTATTATATACTTTGCTATTCAGACCAGCATCTTCATCTTGGTTGTTATAATCAACGTTTCGACTCGTACTTTGCTCTTCGATTTAATAATCTTTATCAGTATTTTGAGATGAGGAATTATCATTATTATACTTTGCTATTCAGACCAGCATCTTCATCTTGGTTGTTATAATCACAACGTTTCGGCTCGTACCGATTTAATAATCTTTATCAGTATTTTTGAGATGAGGAATTATCATTATTATATATTTTGCTATTCAGACCAGCATCTTCATCTTGGTTGTTATAATCACAACGTTTCGGCTCTTTACCGATTTAATAATCTTTTATTCAGTATTTTGAGATGAGGAATTGAGGAATCATTATTATATACTTTGCTATTCAGACCAGCATCTTCATCTTGGTTGTTATAATCACAACGTTTCGGCTCGTACCGATTTAATAATCTTTATCAGTATTTTTGAGATGAGGAATTATCATTATTTATACTTTGCTATTCAGACCAGCATCTTCATCTTGGTTGTTATAATCACAACGTTTCGGCTCGTACCGATTTAATAATCTTTATCAGTATTTTTGAGATGAGGAATTATCATTATATATACTTTGCTATTCAGACCAGCATCTTCATCTTGGTTGTTATAATCACAACGTTTGGCTCGTACCGATTTAATAATCTTTATCAGTATTTTTGAGATGAGGAATTATCATTATTATATACTTTGCTATTCAGACCAGCATCTTCATCTTGGTTGTTATAATCACAACGTTTCGGCTCGTACCGATTTAATAATCTTTATCAGTATTTTTGAGATGACTAATTATCATTATTATATACTTTGCTATTCAGACCAGCATCTTCATCTTGGTTGTTATAATCACAACGTTTCGGCTCGTACCGATTTAAT